CTCCTCATGCTGACAGAATTGCAGAAAGGTATCAAATATGCAGTCACCTCACTTCTCACAAGTACTTGATCTATTGGTGGTGCTATTTTGCATATTAATGTTGCCATCTCATGCCACAGATTAGCAGGGCCTCTTAACTAACAGAGGCAGGGTCACCAGTGCCTTTATGATTAATCAAATTGGAGAACTAGTTTAGGAAGCCCATCCTTAGGATTTTGTCTCTGTAGAACCACTCCCAGTATGTGTTGGACTGGGTTCTCTAGACAAACAAAACCAGTAAAGCTTATATAGAGAAAGAGAAATTTATACTAGGAAAATGGCTCACATACTTATAGGAATAAGAGCTGGTATGTCCCAAGTTCTTTGATCAAACGTCAAGCTGGAGGCTTTTCCCAACTCATGCAGCTACAGGGGCTGAGGAGCTCAAGGTTGGCAGGCAGTATACTGGCTGTTGACTCCAATGAATGATGAATCCAAGATCTTCAGGCCGAATGGTGGATTGTTTGCTCACAGACAGTTGTAGGCAGCAAAACAGAATCCTGATCCACAGAAGAGTGTCTCTTTTCCCAGGATGTCCATAAATATATTGGAAGCAGACCACACCCCTAAGGAAACTCCCTTTCAGTGAATTGGCTGCTCAAAACATAATACATCTGATCCCATCATGGGAACAACCCACACCACAGTTGCTTAAACCACACAGAATTGTGGTCCAGCCAAGTTGACACATAGCTCCAGCTATCACAATGACCAACTTGAGCTATAATGCCTGAAGCCCCTGGGGGCAGGTATTGTGTCAAAACCACTTTTTTATGTGTGTCCCCAGTCCTAGCACACAGTTGGTGCTTTCTAAATGCTTGTTTAAACACATGAATTTTAACAGTCTTTACAGTTGGCCAGCTTTCTAGTTTTTTCCTGCTGTTTGTCCCTTTACCCCCTTGTGCATAGTCCTTACCTCTTGAGAAAAATGTACAATATACTATATTGTGTGAAAGAAATGTTTGTGGTCTTCTTGTGCTTAAACTCACTTTCCCTTTTTATTTCATTCTCTCACCTTTCTCCTGCTAATGCTATAAACTTACCTTTGTTTAAACAGCCTTCACCTCTGCTGCACTTGATGAAAGAGATGACCCTTCTCCTGCCTAGAGGTAATCAGTGCCCCTGACCTGTTCACTTGATCACTTTTCTTTCTAATCCTTTCCCTTCTGCCCATTATTTATTGCCAGTTTTCCTTCCTTTATAATCTTAGTCTTTAGGAGTTTCCTTTGTATTCTGCATCTAGGTCTATGTGTCTCTTATCTTAGTGACCCAGGATCCCCCTTCAGTTACTGTCTTCTTTCTTTCCTTCACAGACTTCTGGAAAGGATAATTATCTTTTGTCCTTGTAGTCTTCAAATCCTCAACTTCTCGCTCACTTTTTAACTTGTGGTTTAGCCAGCCTTTTTTTTCTTCCTGAAGTGCTCTGGCAAAGAACACACACATGCTTTCCGAAAACCAAGTCTAGTGGATGTTTGCATTCCTCATTATCTTCAGCTCTCTGGGTCGTGTGGCAGTGGTGTTTTGTTCAAAACCCTCTTCTGGTTTTTCCACCTCTTTGAACATTTTTCTTGTCTGTTGGTTTTCCTCTGCTCTGGTCCTTGTTCTCAAGAGTTCTCTCAGGCCCTCTTTGGACCCAGACTGTCTGTCTGATCAGTATCCTGCCCTGCTCTGGCTTTAAATACTTCTCAGTAGGCTGAGGATTCCCAAACTTCCATCTTCAGCCCACACCCTCCCCATGTGCTGTGCATCCATCAGGATGTCCCACGGGTACAACACTCATCATCCTAACATCCCCTCCCCTTTCCATGGACACATGCTTCCTCCTGAGGCCTTATTACACATAGTGATTCCATAATCTCTTCTGTTGTCTAAGAAATCCTAGGATTCATCTCTCCTTTCCTCCATCTCATTCAGTTAATTGACACATGCTGTTCGTTCTGTAAAAAATCTATCTGTCCCTTTCCTTATGCCCATTTCTTCCTGATACTCTCCATGCAGCTTACTACCATAACTGCCCACTCTAAAATGCAAATAAGATCATGAAACCTGCGACCTAAAACTCCCTTCTGGTGTCTTACTTACATGATGAAGTCCAGATTCCTTACCATGAAATACAAGGTCTTTGATGGTACCTCGTTTACTTGTAACCCCATCCACCCCCTCTTACCCTTGACCTAGCCACGCCTTTTGTAGTTTCTTTGATTAGGGCACATGCTGTTTGATTTCTCTTGAAAATTCCTTCTATTCTTGGCCTTCTGGTAAATTCCCACTCACCCCCACATGAAATTGGAATGTGTGGCACATTTGAGAGGTATTTTCTGGCCACCCTTCATCCCCTACCGAGCTGATTGATCACTTCCACCTCTGTAGCCCCCACACATTGTACAAACTTCTGTTAAGGCACACTCAAATTTTCAAATGGGGTTTTACATTTCTAGTTCTCTTCCCAGACCAAGAACTCCTTAAGAATAGGCACTCTTCCTTTCCTCACCTAACACTGGGGAAGGTGATCATTGGCTTCAGTAAAGGTTTCATGCATGCATGAATGAGTAGAGATTTTAATTGAAATTAGCGACTAATCAGAAAAATACTGTAGCTAAAAAGTAATTGTGGTGAAATCTCTAGGTTCAGAGAAATTGTAATTACAGACATCATTAGAATGACGGTAACAAGAAGTGAATGTTTCTTTGGTCATGTACAGCCTGTGCAGTCTTTGATTCTGTCCAGATGAGGAGAATGAGGTGCAGAGAAGATAGGATTTATCAGAGAGTGCACAGCTCATTTGTAGTAGAGCAGGGCTTGGGGCCCAAGCATGATCCCATATCCCATGTTCTTTATACTGTTACACTGTCTCATACTTGTTTCAACATGTGACTTGAAGAATTACAAAATTCCTCTTTTAGACAGCTAATAATCTTCTGATGTCTCCAGTCTCTTGCCCCCAAATACTTCATTTATTTTACTGCTGTTTATTATTCCATGTGAATTATTAATTGCAAATAAGGCAGACTAGATCCTTGTCTTCTGGGAACTTAGAGTAATCAGACAAGTTATAGTGAATCAGACAGAAGTGTTTTGGACGTGCAGAAAACTGAATGACTGTATGGTTAGTTAAGACCTAAGTGTTGTATAAGGTTTATTCACTCAACTCTCCTTGTTGAGCCACCTGTCTACTGGCCAATGTAATAATGTCATGGCCCCTGTTCTGATGGGGTCATAGGGAGACAGATGTTAGAGACTCCTACAGAAGGGAGTGAATTCTGTCACAGGCGGTGTGTTGGAAAGCTGAAAAAGCCCCAGTGAAGCTGGGAGTTTAAAGGTGTGTGACCCAGGGAAGTTCCTTCCCCTTGCTGGGCCTTATTCTTTCCCTCTGTGTCCATGGTTGGATCAGATGACCTCCTCCTTTCAGCTCTCCATGTCTTCGAACTAAGAAAGTGCCTTTGTTAGAACAATGAGTCAGGAGACAGAGCAGAAAGTACTGTTGTTTTGTGTGAACTGATTATCAAATACTAACACTAAATGTTTCATTTATTATCTCTGAAAACAAACAGTCCAGGCTCAAAATGTCCATATTGACTGCCTTGGTCTACAGAGAAAAACAGGCTTTTATTTCAACACAGCAACACTTGGCATTTAATTGATTCTGTTGTAATCTTTAGGTTATTCTGAGGTTTGAGAGATTGGTCCCTCTTTGTTCTCTGATCTTCTTGTTGTTACTAGGTGCCGTTGAGTTGGTTCTGACGCATAGTGACCCTGAGTACAACAGAACGAGACTCTGCTTCGTCCTGCGCCAATCTCACAGTCACTGCCGTGCTTGAGCTCACTGTAGCCACTGTGTCGGTCCATCTCCCCCCACGCCTCATGTATCAGAGTTTGATACGTAAAATGTGAATACTTATCTAAAACTTCTTAATAAACTATAGAGGCACTGATTCAGCAACGAAGCAACATTTGTTGAGCATCTGCTATGTGCCAGACATTGTTAGGGTACAGACATGAATAAGAAGTAGTCCATGCCGTCAAGGAATTTATGGGTTAGTGGTAGGAAAAAACAAAAAGAATAAGCAGATCTGTGAAAGAGCCTATTCCAGGTACTATGACAGAAATGTATCTAGTATTGGGGTACAGATATAAGAGTAGTATGCCTGGGGGTGGGAAGAAAGATCAAGGGGCAGCGTAGTATAGGGAAAGAACATTAGGTTTAGAGTCAGGAGACCTGGGGTTTTAGATCTCAGCTCTGTGTGTACTGTCTGCGTGGCCTTGACTTCTTTGAGCCTGGGCTGTCTCCCCTACATGAAAGAAATAATACCTTCTTCCCATAGTTGGTGTAACTATGACATCATATGTGAACATGTGTGTGCATGATGAAGTTCTTAATCTGAGCTCTAGAGGCAAGGTCCTATTCCTGAATAAAGTAGGTGTTAGGCCAGTTGTATTTGCTAAAGTAAAAAATTAACATATATTTTAAGTTAGATCTGGTGGTGTAGTGCCTAAGGCACTTGACTGCTAACTAGAAGGCTGGCAGTTCAAACCCACCAGCCACTCCTCGGAAGGAAGATTGGGCAATCTACTTCTGTAGTGATACTGCCTTGGAAACCCAAGGTGGGGTCGCTGTGAGTTGGAGACGACTCGATGGCATGTAACAACAACAACAAAGTTAGATCTCAGATTAAACTCCATCAGGGGTCAGCAGCCTTTCTAAGGTAGTGTACCAACTTGGCAGCCCACGGTATTCCGGCAGATCAGTTGCCTATATGCACCTCCTGTTCTGTGGAACAACAACTGGTGGTGGTGGTGGCAATCAGCCTGTGGCCCCTAAAAATGTCGTCACTTCAACTCTGATGGCAGGTATTGGATGGTGTAACCCTGCACACCTGCATCCTTGGGAATGTAAACAGCAGTAGAGGTATATGTCTTAACTCTGATGTTTTCCCCTTTCCTCCCTTGAACCAGATTTTATAATGTGGGCAACCTGCTGCAACTGGTTCTGCCTGGATGGACAGCCTGAAGAGGCCCCACCACCCCAGGGAGCCAGGACGCAAGCCTATTCCAACCCCGGATACAGCTCCTTCCCTTCTCCAACAGGCTCTGAACCCAGCTGCAAGGGCTGTGGGGCCCACTTTGCCAACACAGCCAGGAAGGTGAGTGTTGAGTTCTTGCCTGCTCTGCTGGTACAGCCCTGGGGCCTCAGGCTGGCTGCTGACTTCTCCACGAATGCCTGCTGCCTCAGCTGCCTGTGCACTGCTGGTAACTGAGACCCAGTCCACCTCACAGGATTGTTAAAGAGAAACTAATCCAAGCAAAAGCAAAGCATAGATTTGGAACCAAATAGGCCTGAATTGAGGTACCAGCTTTGTCATTTATTAGCTGTGTGATTTAACTTCTTTGAACGTCTGTTTCCCTATCTATAAAATGGGGATAATAATAACACCCACCTCACAGTGTTGTGGTGAGAGAGAATAAAATAAGATTAAATATGAAGGGGGCCCAGTGTGAAGCCTGGAACATAGCCAGCACTCAATGTTAGTGTCCTTCATTAGCCATCATCATAAAAAAAAATTTAATGGCAAATTAGCATGTTCTTTTTATGTAAAGTAATGTCAGGGATGCCTCCGGTACATCAAGACCCTAACAAGACAAAGATTAGAGCTTGTTTACCATAGCTGATTTCATCTGCATTGCTGGGCAGCCGTGCTTCCTACATTAGCTAGCAGGAAATAACATTATTGGCTGTAATGGTGTATGGATGTGGGCCATCCCTTTGTCAGTGCCTGGGAAGCAGCATGTTCTTGATGGTACGCATGCTTGGGGCAGAGGGTAACTGACCTGGATATAGAACTGCATTCTGCATTCTTCTGCAGGATGAGATTTGCAGTCTAGAGGAGCGATGGAATGTGTTGTTCAAATGGTGATAATTGGAAATTTGAGAGGAAATAGTTTTTAAGCGCCTGCTGTATGCCAGGGGGGAGCTCTGTTAGCATAGTGCCTAAGGCACTTGACTGCTAACCAGAAGGCTGATGGTTCAAACCCACCAGCCACTCCTGGGAAGGAAGATGGGGCAATCTACTTCCGTAGTGATACTGCCTCGGAAACCCAAGGAGGGGTCGCTATGAGTCGGGTCCGACTCAACGGCACATAACAACAACAACAACAATATGCCAGGGATTCTTCTGAGCAATTTAGATTTTTTTATTTGTTTGTTTCCTTTAATTCTTTCGATAACTCTATGATACAGCTTTTAGAATCCCTAAACTCACATTTTACACGTGAGAAACTGAGGCTTAGGGTCTACAATGAATAAAAGAAACCATACGTGTCAAGTTCCTGACAAATAGCTTAAGAGGTATAAAAACACTCATTGTTTTTTCTATGCTTAGTAGTGTCCCCGGGCTCACATTATTTATTAAGTGCCAGGGCTGGGATTCAAACCAGGTCTTTGACTCCAAAGCACCACCCCTACAGAAGACCCTTAGAATGACTGGAATTTCTGTATCTTGAGTGTTGACCACGCACCCTTTTGTACCTTAGGATGATAAGGTTGACATTTGCTTTGTGCTGCAGAGCAGTGAAGGTGGCAGATAGCTGAGCTTTGTTGGATTTGCTTGGCTGCCCCAGTCACTGTGAGAACTCAGCCAGAGAGACTGCTTCAGGAGAGTAGAGAGCTGTGGCTGGGGGCGGGCAGAAGTGCCTCTTATGCTTAGACTGAAAGGTCAAGTTAGTAGATTGAGACTGAATCGGAGAGAAGAAGGGCTTCCAAGCCACATGGCCTCAGCCCTCAGTGATGCAGAAGGTGGGATGGAGTTCTGAGATGAGAACAGCAAAGTAAGTCTGCTGGGCACTTGGATGCTGAGCACTGGGCTTGGCACTTGATGTGTGTTATTGTTGGATCTTTACTACAACGTATGAAGAGTACTATTATTTATTGCCATTTTTCAGGTGAAGACATTGTTCATTTCATCTAAAGCAGTAGTTTCAAGTGTGTACTCATGTACATCAGGAGTCAGTTGGACAGCCAGAGGCCTTGCTGCTTTCAGTGTTTAACGCTGAGAAATGCTGGGAAGAGCTGTTGGTACAAAGTGGCAAGATAAAGGATGAGAAAGGAATAGGAAAGGCCCTTGTTTAAACAAGGCAGCATGAGTTAGCAGTAGGTTTCTTTGAACCTTTTTGTCTTAACGTTAGTTACATTCTGTGGAATAGAAATGAGGAAAGAGGGCAATGATGGTGATGTAGGCTTGGGGAGTGGCATGGTCAGCATGATAAAATTTCGAGAGGGCCAGGGGATCTAGGGGGTCCTTAACATTTCTCAGCCAGAAGAGAGAATGAGAGTGAATGAAGAAATCACCCCCAAAGAAAGGAGAATGGTTGGAAGAGAATGGGGAGATGCTTTATTTTTCTTCATTAGTGATTATCAATCACAACCTGACATAAATATGCTTGTTTATTGTCTGTCTTCCTAGTTGGCACATGGGAACAAGGACTTTGTCACTTCCGTTCACAACTTTATCCCCAGTGCCCAGAACAGTGACTGACACATGGTAGGGAATACATTTTTGAAAAATGAATGAATGAATGAAGAGATAAATGAAGTCTAGAACACTTCGAAAAAGAGGAAGTAGGACAGAGTTTTCTGTTTTCCTTACTTCATGGCTGTCAATTCAATGCTGGATATTAACCTCGAGGGCTCAATTCTGTACCAGCAGCCTGCTAGCAGCAAGAGACTATAGCTTTGGCGATGTAGAACTGAGTGTAAGACATAAGCTTTGCCCTCAAGGAGCTTACTGTCTAGCTGAGGAGACCCATATTTACAAAGAATTAATAATAACTGGCTGTGTAAGTTAGGTACTAGGGAATCACATACTGTTGATCAATTGAGGCATGAGAATTCTGGTTGGGTCAAGGAAGGTTTTATTGATTTACAAAGCATTGGCTGAAGTAAAGGTACCAGATTGGGACAAGTGCAAGGGGTATTTGAGAACTGTTAAGTGGCCTGGCTCTCCAGAGTGCAGGATACTGGAGAAGTTAGGGTGGGAGGAGAGATAGGAGCAGGTGGTGAAGGGCCTTAGCTGCCATAGGAAGGGGTTTGTAGCCAGCAAACAAGGAGCCATCAAATATTTTTGAGTGAAGGAATGGCGTGATCAGTCCTGTGTCAGGTAGCTGACTTGGCTTCTTTAGGAAGGTGGTTTGATGGAGTGCGTAGGAGTGAGTACCATTTAGGAAGCTCTCCTATACTTGCTGAGGAATGATCAGAGCCTTATGAGGTGGTGGTGAAGGGGCTGATGGATACATCTCCCCTTTGGTGAGCAACTCTTTGTGCCAGACCCTGTGAAGTGGTAGTTGTTACTCTGAGAGATGAAAAATCTGAGTCCCAGAGATACTAAAGTACTTAGCTACTGAGGGAAAAGGCCAGTAAGCAGCAGAGCAGAAGTTGACCCAAGTATCATTTGATTCCACAGCTTGCTCCTTTTCCAGTATCCCCCGTTTCCTCCCAAATGAAGACAGATCAAGTGGCACAGGAGAAGGGTGCGTGGAAGATCACGGCCTTTAGGCCTGTGTGCTGAGGAGCAAGTGACGATTGACATAAGGAACTGTTCTTATTCCTTGGAAAATAAATGATTGACTCTCCAGTGTGTCAGGCATTGGCTGGAGTAAGGTGGCAGAGATGGAAACGGCCATCCCTGCATAACGGGGAACGGCCAGTCAGACAGGACGATGAGCAAAGACGGAACCGCACAGTGAGGCGAGAAGAACGCTTCTGTAGCACAGGGCGCTGCTGTGACGGCAGAAGCTCCCGGTCTGGGTGGTAAATGATGGGTATGGAACAGTGTTTTCTCACCATAAAAGTATGAATTTCATGAATATTAAGGATGTTTTCTCCTGTGTGAGAGATTTTCATTTATAATTTCATGCTTAAGTGGAGCAGTGTTCTTATCTTGAGGGTTTGGCATTTAACAACCAGAGACCTTTAAAATGTCTTTTCTGGAAATGGTTGAATTGAAATGATTACATGGATCCTACTGTCTTTTTTTCTTTTTTTTCCTCTCTCTTTTTAAAAATTTTTAGTATGGCCAGTATGTCCTAAAAACTCAACTAGATACAAAACACAGACAGCATTTATGGAGAAACATAAATAAGATGTATCTCCTGTCCCACCCCTCCACCCTCTGCCTAGAGTTCCCTTCTTGGAGAGAAATGGCAGGCTGTACTTCTGCCACAGCCAGATAGCTCACCTGGACTGGTAATACCTGCACGTGGCTTAGCAACAGCCCTTAGAATTGTGGAAAGTTTGGAGTCAAGCTCCATTAGCCCAGGTTGAGGAAGAGATTGTGCTTAGAAACACGAAAGAGGTAGATACTCAAATCTTAAGAGTGGAAAGAAAGGGATGGATCCTAAGTATTGGCAAAACTTCAGAGATGAGGCAGAAGGGAGAGGGAACCAAAGGTGATACAGTGGCAGTGTCCTGAGTGCCCATCTTATGTTAAGATTTGATTTATATACATTTTCTCACGTAATACTTCTAATAGTCCTTTGAGGTCGGCTAACCTATCCAACTTTACAGGTGAGGAGTGCAGTGCTCTGGGAGGTTGCACAAGTTTCCTTAGCCAGAAAGGGTTCAGCCAGGACTCGATTCTAATCACATCACTCCTCAGCCTGCCCTTTTCCCTCCCAGTGGGCTGGAGGAGGGAATGCCTGTAGGAAGGAAGGCGAGGAGGAGGGTCTGGTAGGGTGAGAAACAAGCGTACCAGGGGATAGTAGGGGTGGGACGCAGGAAAGGATATGAGAAGGGCAGATTGTCAAAGAGGAACGAGCCAGGCAACCTCCTAGCATCTGTAGAGGGTGCTGCCTGCTGAGGTGCCTGGCCAGCGTGTGGATGCTGCATGCGTGAGCATACTCCAGGCATCTCTGCAGTCACGCGGCCTCCATTGATTCATCTTTCATGCTATCTTGTTACTTGGTTGGGTTGAACCGTTTGCTAGAATTTATACGTTCGCATTTCCTTTGCTCATTCTGCCCACATTAGTCGACAGTCCTTATTTTTGCTTTCCTTTGTTCTCTCCAGCCTCTGCAAACTGGGATTCTAGCCTCTAGCATTATCCTACTCCTTTAGATGCCGGCTTACTTCAGAGTCCCTGGTGAGCAGGTGCCACAGAGGAGTTCGCTTGCTGCCTTTGCATTCTGATCTTGCATCCAACGAGCCACACACATTTGAAGAAAGAACCTAAGAGTTGTTTGGATCTGGCTGATTGAGCAACTCAAGCCTTTATAATAGTGTCAAGCTAGGCCTTGTCAAGCTGCATTGACTTGAGTAATGTTCCATGTCACAACCCACAGTTTATGACACAAGGCTTTTACCATCAGTCATGCTAAACACACGTCATTTCCTGATAGAGAAGCTTCAGGTATGACTGAACCCCAAGCCCCCCCAAACATCCATTCTCTACCTGAGTGGCTGCTCGCCTCGAAATCCTGCATCTTTTTTAGTCAGTCTCTGAATGTTTTATTATCTGATTATAATTGTGTCAAGAATAAGGGGGGGTTGATATATGTCCCTTCACAAAGCCTTCTCAGAGTTAATCATCAAAACTGAATGGTCAAGAGTGTGTCCTTTTCCCTTGACTGCATGAATGACACTTAGACAAAAACTAAACATAACTGCCTTAACTGTGCAGATGTTTACTTCAGCCCTACACAAGAGTGTCTGCAATCTTCACTATGAGAATTTAAGTCTCCTGGGTATTCTTTGTAGTTTGAACAGGTTTTAGGCTTTTCTGTATTTAGAAAAGAGGGAGCAGAACAATTTGGGTTAATGCTTAAATCACCACAAGATGAAAAGTTTTAAATTTATTTACGGGATTATGCCCTCACCCAGTAACTGCCTGTCCTGTGAGAGTGTGCCCTGCTTTGGCTGGAACAAGGCTCAGCCACATGTCCCCATCTTGGCTCAGCCTGTGGGGCAAGAGGCTGAGAAATGTGCTTCCTGTGGGTTGAACAAGTCTTGGTGTATAGCTTGTGATCCTGTGACCTGCTGCTGCCAGGCAGTGCCAGCTTGCATGTCAGATGTGTTACTCAGCCACTCTGAGACACTCTGTACTTTCACAAGAGAGAGCACCCTGACTGATGTCCAGAGGGCCCCTACTAGCTGTCTAAATATTTGTATTGGATGTGGTCTTACGCACCACTGAATTCCCAGCACTCTGAGTGGGCCTCCCGTAGTGGGGGAGCCTGGGCACCCGTCTCAGCTGATGGGGCTCTGGGTTGGGAGTTGAGGAAATGGAATGCCAGGCCGTGACTCAGCACTACTACAGCCATTAATGGGACTGAGACAGCAGCATGGCTGGTGGAAGGAGCATGCTCATGGGCATTAGACTCAGACAGATCATGAGTTTGAATCCCAGCTCTGGTGCTTACAGCCTGACCTTGGAAATGAAATTAAATCTCTGTAAGCCTCAGTTGTTTTGTGAAACAAGGAGGAACACCAGTACTGCTTTGCAGGGTTGTCTTGAGAATCAAATGACCAGCTGGGTGTAGCTTTAACAGCCCAGTTGCCATCAAGTTGATGTAGACTCACGGTGGTGACCCGTGTGTCAGAGTAGAGCTGTGCTTCATAGGATTTCAGTGGCTGTGACTTTTTGGAAGTGGATCACCAGAGCTTTGTCCCGAGGCAGCTCTGGGGTAGATTTGAACTGCCAGCCTTTGTCTTAGTAGCCAAGTGCTTCACTGTTTGCATCACCCAGGGAAACCTGAATGTAGCTCTGTGTGTGAAAACTGGGGAAAAACCAGATACGCTCAAGTGGATTTCGACTCATGGCCACCCTCTGTGTGTCAGAGTAAAACTGGTATGTTAGGTTTTCAGTGGCTGGTCTTTTGGAAGTAGACCACCAGGCCTTTAGTTAAACTAAAACTACTTGTTGTTGTTGTTTGCCGTCGAGTCGGCCCCGACTCATAGCGACCCCTCCTTGGGTTTCCGAGGCAGTATCACTACGGAAGTAGGATTGCCCAACCTTCCTTCCGAGGAGTGACTGGTGGGTTTGAACCGCCAGCCTTCTGGTTAGCAGTCAAGTGCCTTAGCCACTATGCTACCAGAGCTCCCTAAAACTACTAGTAATGTTAATAGTAGTAATCACCACCACCATGAAGCAATAATGTGAATGAACTGTAGTTTAGGATCAGAAAGCAGTACTTAAATCCTGGCTTTCATCATTAACTAGTATATATTTTGTAACAAAAATAATGAAACCAATTACATTTAGAGAGGAGTCGTTAGGGTCAGATATGCTAAGTGCATTAACTCTCATAACATAGATGCTGTTTTGGTGGGAGATTACAGTCAATGTCATGAGACAAAGTGTATGTGAATTGCTGTATGGAAGATGAATTTGCTCTAAACTTTCACCCAAATCACAGTAAAATTTTAAAAGGGGGGACGGGACAAATAAAAGATAGATGCTGTTATCATCTCCGTTTACAGATGAGGAAACTGGGAGTCAGGGAGGCTAAGTTTAACATGCCAAGGTGATGTTGAATGCAGGGAGGGAGGATGACTTTCTGATCTGAAGCTGGTAGACTGAGTTAATATCCTCACTTTCTTCATCAATAAAAAGGAAGGATAAAACCTCAAATGAGATAATAAATGTAAAGTGTCCTGTATATGGATACACAGATACATACAGGTGGTCGGTCTGTCACCTCTGAGTAGTTTTTAACCTACAATCTGAAACGTTGCTTGTATCCTTAGATACAGGAGCTAGCCTAATAAAAGAGTGGTCGCAGGAGGTCTTGCCAGGCTCGGCAGCCCTAACGCTCCCCTCCCGCACTGTGTCATGTTCTCTCAATCTGACATGGTTTCCTCTGCCTCTTGCTCTAAACAGCAGACCTGCTTGGACTGTAAGAAAAATTTCTGCATGACTTGTTCGAGCCAAGTGGGGAATGGGCCCCGCCTCTGCCTTCTCTGCCAACGGTTCCGAGCCACAGCCTTTCAGCGGGAGGAGCTCATGAAGATGAAGGTGAAGGACCTGAGGGACTACCTCAGCCTCCATGACATCTCCACCGAAATGTGCCGGGAAAAGGAGGAGCTGGTGTTCTTAGTACTTGGCCAGCAGCCTGTCATCTCCCAGGAGGGCAGGACTCATGCCCCCATCTTGTCCCCGGACTTCCCTGAGCAGCAGGCTTTCCTGACCCAGCCTCACACCAGCACAGCACATCCTACCTCACCCAGTCTCCCTTCTTCACTTGCACAAGCCACCTCTGCTCCCCCAGCCCAGGCTCAGGAAAGCCAGCAGGTATGGGCCATTTGCAGTCTCTTCCAGTTCAAGGGCTTGTTCTCTCCGGCCTACATTGTGGGAGCTGGGTGGGAGGTTACTGTCTCAGTAAGTGAAGCCTTTCTGCCTACTGGTGCAAGAAATGATGTCTTCTGGACATCGCATTTATGTTTTTTTTTTTTTTTTTTTTTCTGAGGTGATAGGGATAGTATTGGGTTTTTGCTTGTTTTTAATGCATAGATATTCCAGTTAGACATTTAAAAAAAAATTCATTGTTCCAGAAATATTTTGAGATGAGTCACCATTAATTCTACAAATATAGTTCTGTTTAAATTTGCCCTCCTACTTACTCACTTTTGTTGTGGTCATCTTTAGCTGGATGGGGAACTCAGTGCCTTAGTAACCATGACAAGGCACGCGGGAAAAAAAGGAAATATGTGGAGGGGAGGGGGAGTAAACACTGTGACCTAGAACGGGGAAGCTGCTTCTCTCCCTGCTCACCATTTGGGAGGGAGAGTGATTGACATACTATTATATAGTAAGCTGCTTCACCATTATCCCAGTGGGGCTCGGAAATGAGAAGCTAAGAGCACCTTGACTAAATTATGAACCAGGCATGGGAAATACAGAGCTGAGTAACATACTGTCCCTGCCACCTCTGAGCGGGAAAATGAGTACATAAACCAACTGTTAGATTGGAGTGAGGCCAGTGGACTTCCCATTGCCTAAGGAGTACAGGGGTCAGTCATATAGATACAGTTCAGTGCCTAACACATGACCCTGTTATTTATAGGACTTGGGCAGTAGTGAGGGGATTAGCATCTAAAAGATCTGGTTCCACATCCAATTTTGTCACTGACTCTTCGGTTACCTTGGACAAACTTGGAGCTTCAACAGTAAAGTAGGGTTAGTAATGCCAGCCAGCCCATTTTTTATCTGGCAAGGATATTGGCAGGGCTGAGTAGTCTGATACCACATACAGTAAAACCAGAAAGCCGGAACCCCTATGTAAGGTGGAAACCCGTCAGGGAAGGAAAATGCAAATATTTTCCACTAACAGATAGTGAAAGAGAAGTGGTTAAGACTGCACCCTGTCAGTGACCAGGTTTGCTGGTCTGATAGAGCATGGTGGAACCACTGAGACTATGACCCCGGATTGCCCTTCAGATCTAGAATTCAACCCACACCTGTGGCTTCCAGCCAAACAAAAGACAGGCATAGGAGTTGAACATGTACCTGAGGTATATATACTCCTTGGAGAAAACAATCATGGGAGAAAGAAGGGCTGTTTATGCACAGGGAGACAGTTCGGGGCAGGAGTGCATGGAGGGATGGACACAGGGAAGAGGTGACTGTCGGGAGGAAGTGGGAGGGGAGCTGTTGCATTGTGGTGAATTGTGGTCAAGGTCATGAGACAAAGTGTATGTGAACTGCTGTATGGAAAGTGAATTTGCTCTGTAAAATTTCACCCAAATCACAATTAAAAAAAAAATGCACCCTGTCAAAGGCGGAAAACTTGTGAGGAAAACCCAGGCAGTCCCATTGAATTCTGATTCTCACAGGTTTCACTTTGTAAAGAGCTTGGAGCTCCTTGGAGCTAGTCTCTAACTAGTGTAGTCTGTTCCCACACATGATGGATGGCTGCTGCCTCTTGTTTATGATCACCTCCTTTGCCAGGACTGGGCCCCTGATTCAGCGCTTGATGGCATTGAGGCATAAAGGCCAGTGTGATGGCGTAATTTAACTTCAGTAAAATCACTTAACTCCTTTGCCAGCTTGAGCACGATTCCTCCCAAGCTGGAGTGTAACTCTTTGCTAAGCTCTGGCTGGTCCTTCCCTATGGCTCCCTCCCTTTCCCTGGTTCTTCAGAGCACTCCTCTTTGTTTATAGGGAGCCAGCAGAGGAACTGGAGGAGGAAATAATTTTTTCCTGAAGAACCATCAAGTGGGATTTTCAAAGAAAGGAGTAGGTCATTATCCAGAAAGTTGCAGATCACACTTACAGGTCATGCTAGGTACCCGATCTTATTGAGTACTTTTCCTCTGGGGTTTTCAGAGGGCCTGAGTGTCAGTCACATGCCCTGTTGTGGTGTGATGTGCATTTTGCAAGCAGGAAAAACTGGCCTGAGGAAGCTGAGTAACTTGTGTGAAGCTCCCTGCCAAGCCCATGTGTGAGCTGCACCTAGAATGCACATCACCTCAGAATACTTGCTCCACCAGCACTCTCCCCTTTACTTTTAATGCCTTAGCAATCATTGCTAAGGAAGAAAGTATGTGGAATAAGCAATATCATGGACAGGTCCTCGTTGTAGATACTGATTTGGCCAGTGGGCAAACTGGAAAGACAAAAGCCTGCTTTTCAGCAGGAAATCCAGTTTCTGTTTCTAGGGGAAAAAAGGACATACACAAACTGTTGACTTAGGAACAAGTTAGATTCTGAAAGCCACCTTATAACTCCAAGGTGACACTATTCCAAAGGCCGCCACATGTAAGTAAACTTAGGAGAAAACTGGAGGTGTTCATGAAAGCTTGTTTGAGACTCATCCCATGTGTATGCAGTATGTGTGATCTTATCATGACTTGGTATTTTTTTGGTTATTTCTCCATTTCATTTCCTTTGTAATTGCTTGCTTCTGCTTCTTAGCTCCACATTTTGTATCCTGATTCAGGGTGTTGTGGGGGCCAGTGAGTGACAGGTTTCTCCAGGGTTTCCTGGTGTAGTAGGGTCTGGTAAAAAAGGCCCATGAACTCACAGCAGGCCCTTGGCTACGAGGCAGCAGTAGGCGAACAGGATCTGGGTCAGGGGTTTGGAGGGCTCACAGTTCAGACTATTCTTTCAGAAACCTCCTAAAGGAATGCCCAAGAAGAATTTTTTGAGAAGTTAGAATTCTGAGTAGAGTAGGACAGGTACTGTCTTATCAAGTCAGGCTAGTAGGTGCATTAAAATAATTTAGTGGCCAGATTTCAAGACAGCCCTTCATAATAGTGTGCTGGAGCACATTTCTAGAATGTGAGAGCAGTGACTAGCCAGAAGAGAGGGGAACAGAGTGGTGAGGGTCTGGAAACATCAGTTCATGAGGCTCAGTTGAGGAAAACAGGGAGATTTAGTGTGAATTGCGGGAAAGGTGTAATATGAACATTGTAGATAAAACAGTGGATATTGGTCTGAGAGGCAGTACCAGGGGCTGCAGGTGGGAGTTAAAGGGAGGGCAGTTTGGGATCAGTGTAAAGGAAAAAAACTATGGCAGTTAGAGAGCAGCCCCACAGTGGACTGGAGCATTCAAGCTGAGACTTGAATGAGACGGTGGGTGGTGGCTGATGCCATCCTGGTTGGGGGCGGAGTTAATGTCTTTTCTTTTTTTTCTCTAGTGGGCAGCTTTTTATCTATTGAAGTCCTATTGTTTGTCTCACAAAGTTAGTATTTGGAGGAGATGGGAATATGTTTTGGATATAGTGTGAGCTAGAAAGAGCTGTGAAAATTCGCTCATCTCTGTGGATGTGAATGGCTCCTTTCTTTTCCCACAGGCCAATGGCCGTGTGTCTCAGGACCAAGAGGAACCTGTCTACCTGGAGGGCACAGTCAGAGCACCTGCTGAGGAGGAGACCCAGGTGGGGCCGCTGCTGGGTTTGTGTCTGTGCCTTTGACCTTTGACCTTTCACTTGTGTTCTTAGAGTATTGGAAGGAACCTCTTGACAGCTCTTTGGAGAGAGAAGAATTGGCGTGTTGAGTTGATTCCAACTCATAGTGACCCCATAGGACAGAGTAGTACTGCCCTCTAGGGTTTCTGAAGCTATAATCTTTACAGAAGCAGACTGCCACATCTTTCTCCCATGAAGCCACTGGGTGGGCTAGAACCTCTTACCTTTCAGTTAACAGTCCAGTGCTTAATCACTGTACCACCAGGGCTCCTTTTTTGTGATTGGTAGTCTTTCCGAATTCTCTTTTCACCAGTGGAGGTTAGTCTTAGCATTTCATATTGACCCTTGAAACTGTCAGTGTTTTAGGAAATGTGAGGCCCCAGTGGAACCAGTGAGCCTCATGGCCCGTTATGTTTCTAGTCTCTTTCTAAGAGCTACCAGAGGGTAGGCTCCTGGTGCTGCTATGCAAAATTTCATTCTTTCCTCCTGCTTCCAGCACATAGCAGCCATTGTTAGGAGGGGGCAGTCACATGATCAGGAGGAACGATGAGAGGGAGTTCAGGTCTCAGCTGTGACCAGGGCCAGTTCAGGAGCACAGCCATCAGGGCTATGGAGCTGTGGTCGAGGTTAAACACAGAGTGCTGGCCAGGGAAATCTGCCTCTTATGTGGGAGAGCAGAACTCTCTGGGGGAGAGAGGAAGGCCAGCTATATGCTAGGGGCTCTTAAGTGCCTGCCTACCACAGTTCACTTTCACAGGTTGCCTGTGTGGTACAGGTAATTTCTCTCTTACAGAGAGGGGTAATCAAGTTCCGAGAGGTAAGCAACTTGCCCGATATTATTTAGCATTAAGTAGTGGAGGAATCGGGATTCAAAATAAGGGCCATCCTGCTCAAACCAGAGAGCCTTCTATATCACATGACTGGTTGGTGTGTGGCTGTCGGCGCTGTAGCACAGGACTGTAGGTCCAGAAATGACTGTGGTGTATTGTGCAGTGCTAAGCACCACCTGAGGTACTCTTCCTGCTTGTTACTATCCTGGAGGTCGGTCACCAAGAGGACTGGCACGAGTGCTTGGAGAGAGAGCTCGGGGAGGGAAGAGCTGAGCTCACTGCTGTCGTCTCTGCCTTTGCAGTCCATTGACTCAGAGGACAGCTTTGTCCCAGGCCGGAGGGCCTCTCTGTCTGACCTGACCAACCTGGAGGACATTGAAGCGCTGACCGTGCGGCAGCTCAAAGAGATCCTGGCCCGCAACTTTGTCAACTACAAGGGCTGCTGTGAGAAGTGGGAGCTGATGGAGAGGGTAACGTGGCTGTATAAGGACCAGAAAGGACTCCAGCACCTGGGTAAGGGGTTGTCTGGGTGGCGGCTGCAGCATTTCCAAGTGTTTGCTGTCACTCTAAAGCATGATGTCATTGACCTGACTCAATTTCCACACTCTTAGCTGAGAAAGGAGTCACCTTACACATTTGTACCATCTAATAATAGCTGTCATTTGTGGTTTGAGTGCCAGGACTGGCCTGGGCACTTTATATGTTTACTTAATCCTCGGGTATTATTAGATCCCTCTTTTATGGTGGAGCCTGGACTTGCACTGAGGATTTCCTAGTTTCCACCTTACTACACTCCCTCCACAGTCACTACAACCTCTAAGCATACTTAATCTAAATAAATAGTCAAGAGATCAGGAGATGAATCTGAGCACACATGGTGTGAGGAGAATATATCTATTCTTGGTCTTTTCCTTCTGTTCATTTTTCAAAACATTTTGCGTGGTACCACTTACAGGAGATGCCCAGTAAAATACCTGGGTCTATGCTCAAATGAGTTTGGGAAAAAGTACTTGGTACTGTGCCCCTCTGTTACTGACTCCTGGCGGATACTGTTATGTTAAAGGCAGAAAGGAAATCATTTCAGCTGTTTTGAGCTCAGCTGTTTCTAAACTTTTTTCACCACAGAACCCTCACTGTCCCATCTCCTCTCCAGCTAGTTTAGCTCCTGCAGTGTGGCCTTGCAGGCTGGGATTTCAGGCTCTCTTCTTCCGGTAGCTGGAGCTCATCAGAGTTGGGGGAGATCTGGCTACACACACACCGGATCACAGCCTGAGACCTACTGAGGTAGAGCCTCAGCCTTCCCTTGGGTGTTGTCCCAGGAGTCTCTGAGTGTGATGAGGAGCTGGGAAATTAAAGAGCTGGCTCCACCTATGAACTTCAGCCTCCCTGGCTGACTGAAACAGCCTGCTGTTTTCTCCTTTCTTTAACGCTGGCTTCAAAAGCAATAGAAAGGGACATTGTGTGTATACAGTATCTTCCTATTTGGCAGTGTAGCTCGTGCATACCTTTTTCTAAGACTAGACCAGAGGCACCAGCAGCAGGAGCTGGGGTGAGGGTTCTGAGCATGCAGAATGAGTGAGGAGGGTGATGTCTGCCTGGGCTCTTGGCAGAACTGGTTCCCAGCAGGGAGTAGTCAGAAATGAGCTTGGGCTGGTGGGAGACTGTCCTCACGCTGTCATGTCATAGCGTATTCAGACATCATCTTTTTCTTTCCTTTCAGTGTGTGCTGCTGAAGATCAAAATGGTATGTAGTTGTTTTTGAGGCTCTTAGCTTTTCTGTCCTTCACCTCCCTTAACCCTGATCCCTGTTAACAGCTAAGAATTCTGAGCTGTGTGTATCACAAAGAGAGGGGATGTGTGGAACATTCTGTAGAACCAGGGCTTCTGAGCACCTTTTGCAAGTCTCTGCTCCAAGCTCGGAAGGCAGCATTTATAACATCTCTCACGACAAAGCAAGTGGGAACCTGGGCTACACTCAGGTACCCTTCATAATGCTGGTGCTAGTGCCAGGGTACTCTCTAAAGCCTTCACTCAGGATGTTTACCAGCTGCTGGTGTCAACCAAAAAGAAAGGCATTGGCCCCAGGAGCCTTGTTTGTACAGATCTGGCAGGTGGGTCAGGAAAGGTATCAGGTACGGTGCTCTCTGGGTGTAACATGCATGTCCCCACTCTATTGCTGCACACCTGCCTGTATGTGAGAGACCCCGCTGGGCCTGGGGTACCCTGAGCCACCCTGCAGGAATCCTGACTGCATCTTTCCAAGTGTGCTGTAAGCTTTTGAAAGCCTCATGCAATATAGTTACGTGCTTCTCCCCAAGAGAAACTTTCTCACAGTAGGATGGGGCCTGTAAAGCATTGTGAAACTTCTTCAGAAGGCTTCTCAAATTTGTTACTTAGTAAAATGCCCTTTTTCTCAGAATGGGTCAGAGTTTTATGTGTGAATTCTTGAGAGTTGAGGTTTTCTTAGTTCCTGAAAACCATTTGGAGTTCTACCACTGTGTACTAGGTTCAGGCTAATCCAGCCTAATGCCTTTCTTTCCTTTTCTGACTCCCTGGGAGAGTGCTGGCAACTGAGTGGGTGAGTTTACTGTTACTCCTGAAAGAAGCAATAAGTCATTAGAATTCGATAAATAGCTCCAGCTCATCTTGCAAAACCAAATTCACTGCCATTGAGTCGTTTCCAACTCATAGCGACCCCCATTGGGTTTCCGAGGCTGTAAATCTTTACGGAAGTAGAAAGCCCAGTCTTCCTTCCACGGAGCAGCTGGTGGGCCTGGACTGCTCCTCTGACCTTCCAGTTAGCAGTCAAGTGTCTTACCACTATGCCACCAGCTCATTCCTTGGAAACCTTCCTTGTTAGGGCCAATAACTCCTCAAAGGAGGTAAGCAGATTTCACTACCTCCTATTTAGCCAGCCTGCCTCATACAGGAAGTGTTTCTTGACTTTCTGAACAGTCCAGAAAAGAGGTGAAGAAAGTTCAGAAGCAACAGGGGACAGGATCATTCCCCTGTGCAGTTGCCAACCTCCAAACAGAAGAAGTGATCAGGCGTGAGTTGCCATTTATGACTCCCTGGTTCAGGCTACCATTTAAGACAAGTGAGGGAGAGCAGGGCTTTTGGACAGGAAGATTTTCCTGTTTGCAGATCAACACTGACCATGCCCGCTGTAACTCCCTGCCTGATGTAGTATCAAGAGTACCTACTTCATAGTTTTTCTGAGGATTCAATTAGTTAATACATGCAAAGCTTGAGGACCCTGCCTGGCTCATAGTGGACATTAATTGATGTCTGCAGGCTCTGGACAGTTAATATTAGCTGCATAATCCCTGCTCAGGGCACCTTCCCAGGAGCTAGACTGCTGCTCATGGGCAGTCTGCCTGGGTTTGAATCCTGGCTTCTCCACTTACCAGCTGTGCACCATTGGGCAAGCCACTTAACTCTGGCCTCAGTTGCTTCATTTGTGAAATGAGAGTATCAGGAGTATCTACTTCATAGTTTTTCTGAGGATTCAATTAGTTAATACATGTGAAGCTGTGAGGACCCTGCCTGGCTCATAGTAAGCATTCAGTAAGTGTTAGCTGTTATCATTCTCTTCAGAGAACTTCATTTATCAGACATTTAGAGAGGAGTTATCATGTATGTGATTGGAGTTTTGGGGATTCAAAGATGAATATCTGACCTCAGAGCATATAGCAAATGCTAAGTAGATAATTGTGGAAATTGATTGAATTTGTTGAGTGAGGGAGATAAGTAGGCAGACTCAAATTTGTAATCCAGTGTGATAAGCAGTCATGGGGGGATAGATACAGTTCTGTGGGGGGACCGCAGAAGAGGGAGCAGTGATCTCTCCTGGCCCTCCACCCAAGATGTCTCCTCAGAGGAAGCCAGGGATAGTTTGTGGGATGGCACAAGGGAGCCCCATGATCCTTGGCTTTACTGAACTGGTGTTATGTTTACAGATATGCCTCATGAACCTTAGTGAACTATTCATTACAGTTTCCATTTATATCTAAACTTTTCTGAACCACTTTTATCTTTTCAGCTTGTTCTGCCTCAGGGGATAATGAGTCCCTAAGTGCCACTCACTATATTATAGCTTCAATTGTCTGAAAAGGATTTCTTTTAAGCTTTGAGGACTTTGCCTTAGTTCTCATGCTCTGGGATGTATTTGATCAACTGTACTCTTCCAATTACAGCTCTCTGTGGGGAGGAGGTGTAGATTAAACAAGCCCCGGAGCTGGTAACTTGAGGAAATGTTTTCTTGGATTTGCTCTTCTGGAAGAAAGTGTGTGGATTTGGGGTTTTATCAGTGTGTCTGCCCTCTCTCACCTCCATACTGCCACTGCCCCGTACACGTACATGTGACAATCTCCTTACTCTTTCCCTTTGCCCCCTTTTCATGTGTGTTTGTACAGGGGGAGCAGCGCCACCTGGCCTAGAGGAGAACTTGTGTAAGATCTGCATGGATTCACCCATTGACTGTGTTCTGCTGGAGTGTGGCCACATGGTAACCTGTACCAAGTGTGGCAAGCGCATGAACGAGTGTCCCATCTGCCGGCAGTATGTGATCCGAGCTGTGCACGTCTTCAGGTCCTGAGGGCTTGCAGCGTCTTCTTCAGTGCCTTATAGGGACACAGCCTTGGGTATCTGGGCTCAGGGTTGGCCAGTTTGCAGAGGGGCATGCTACCAGAAGAAAATTTGTGGAGTGTTTCCAAAACCAGGGTAGGCAAAGATGCCATGTCTCTCCTAGGCATGTCTATCTTGCTACCGGTTGCACCTCTTGGCTGACAGAGCCCCCGAGGCCAGTGGGACTGGTACAAATTGCATAGGCAAGTCTGCCCGTTTCAATGATCTTGGGATGATTATGGTAACTGATGAACATTGACTTTCCAGAACTTGGACCTTGTCTTCTCCCTTCCTCTGAGAACCGATGCTTTCTCATGCAGTTTCACCCTTCCTCCCTCTCATCCCTGCTCATCCTCTCAAGACACTTGCCTCTGTTTCATCAGTCAGAAGTCCTGCTAGAAATTGTTTCTCTTCCTTCCCAGCACACGTGGATTTATTTCTCGTCCCTCTGGCTTTCTGTGCTTTAATCTACCTTTGCTGAAGTCTCTCGCTATATTGCCTAAAGTCCAATTTGGACCAAAAAGATGTTAGCTTACCAGACCAGTAGTGGTCCTCCATATGACAGAATTTTGGACTAGTAAATTTACCTCTGGTGAGAAATGAAACACAAATACTATTGAAAATTTTCAAAGTTAAAAGAGTTAAGGAGCCTTGATGGTGCAGTGGTTAACTGCATGGCTGCTAAGGAAAGGTCGGCAGTTCAGTCCTACCAGCTGCTCTGTGGGAGAAAGATGTGGCAGTCTACTTCCATAAAGATTTACAGCCTTAGGAATCCTGTGGGGCAGTTCTCCTCTGTCCTGTAAGGCAGCTAACTGTGAGTGGGAATTGACTCAACAGCAATTTTTTCCCCCCCTTTTTTTAATGGAAACTTAATCTCTGGTGAGAAATGAAATACAAATGTTACTGAAATTTTTCAAAGTTGTTAAGAGTTGCTTCCTTAAGGGCTGGGATTGGAAGCTCTCAGTCTTCTGATCCCACCTTGGGAGCCAACAGAGAAAGCATCTGGCTCCAAAGCTGCCGGGAAATTCCAGCCTGTGTGTGAGGGCGGTGCCCTGGGTCATCTCTGCTGGGTCCTCTGTTAGGGCTTGATTTGGCACCATCCTCACTTTAGTTCTTGAGGAAAGGGAAAGCTTTGGGAGGAATAAGTGGCTTTCTGCTTAACTTTGACTTCTGATCCTCCTTTTGCAACAGGCAGGAATATTAAAGTAAACAGTTTCCCAAGAATGAAGTGTCCCTCTTTTCCATGGAATTTCTAAGCTTGGTCTCACTGGCTTCATATTGAAGGTATAGGGATTCAGGCAAAGTACCTGTTCTTCTCTAGCCTGAATTCTCATGAAATTCCTGGAGACCAGACACAGAGGACAGAGCACCTAAAAGATACTAGGAGGTACCGAAGGAGCTGGGTTCTGTTCTTGAGTAGGCAGCCAGCAGCCTTAACTCTCCAGTTTGGTGGGAAGTCCTTATTCCCACTGATTTGGAGGCAGTCAGAAACAAAGCATTCTCTAGGCCCTTTAGGAAGGATCATGTAATGAGTAGGTGACATTTTGAGCCCACTTAGGATCTTGACACCACTGGAGAAGCAGAGGGCTTAAGGAAAGTCATCTGGAGCAGGTTAGCCAAGCACAAAACACACATGCTGTGTCCTCCCATTGCAAATGGATGTACTATGCAAACCTTAAACCTTGGCAGATCTGGGTTTGGCAACCAAGATCTCTCAGAGTAGAAGAACCAATCATAACTTTGGAAGGCAGTGGGAAACTTCTACCCAGGGACCTCTGATACTGGTACAGATATATTTACGCTTCTCTCCATCATCAACCACTAACTCCCTTTGGGGAAATGAAGTAATTTTGGAAAGTAATTGTCAGCTGAACACTGGGCCACTTACCTTGACATTATACCAAGTCCTGGATGGTTGATTTTGGGTCACAGCCTTTGTAGGAGTTGGGGGAAATCACTTTTCTGCTGGACAGTAAATACTTAAGTTTACAATAATGCCTACCAGTTTAGCAAAGGACCATTCATTCAGCTACTCCTTGATTCCACTGTGAAACAAGTCTTTACATAGGCAACTCAGTTAATGTTTAGCAATAACTTCTGGGCAGAAGCTGGCTCTCTGCCTATTTGTAACATGCTTTCTCTATTGAGGCCTTGCCTCCCTTCTCTCTCCCCTCCAACACCCCACATTCCCTGCTAGTCATGAATTGAAAATAAAATCCCAATGGCTGGTTAGTAACCTCAGGAAGAATTAAGAACTGATGTCATTGACTCATCTTAAAGAATTTGCCTTTAAATTTTTTACCCTCTTTTGGTGAAGGTTTCCATTTAGCAAAAAAAGGTGTCAAACAATGCGGGTTTTTTACCACCTTTATTATTGCATCAAATAAAAGTTGGGAGTTCCAAGATCCCATTCCAATGAGTATCTAATCCAGGTATAGAAAAACTTGATTTTTATCCCTGAATCCTCCCACCTACCCTTCATGGATCCTTGGTTTTAATTGTCATGGAAACATCTAATTCTTACAAGTATTCCTTGGCTTTTGCTGTGATTGTTTTGAGATTTCAGTTGAGACTTGTTTTAAAAGACCTGGACATTAACCGGTTCATAATACATTGGAACACTTGGATCCAAGCTAGTAAGAATAAGCTGTACAGACATTAGTGCTCAATATATATTGTATAAATTTGTTGAAATTTTTTGGATGTCAATGTGTTACTTCAAGTGGCTTATACTGAGATTTTTCTGACTACTTGGGTGTTAAAGTAACCCAAATGTGTATTTTTTTTTTTTTTTTTTTTACAGAGCTCTGCTTTATAATTTTGTAATAAAGTTTCAATATAGATGCCTGTCCGATCTGGTGTGAGGGTGCAAGAGGTCTGATAGTTAAGCTTGATCAAAGAATCCATAAACCACAGGCTAGTCCCAGGCCACATGCACCCAGGCACACTCTTGAGAAATTGCACTGCTCTGGAGACTCTTGGGCCTTGTCACCTTGGTCAAAGCCCTGTTCTAACAACGAGGAAAATGGAGCTTAATGGTGGCGAAACTTGCCTAAGACCTCACGGCTAGTATTTGGAAGAGGCCATGGATTAGCCTAGAAGAGCACGGAACCTTAGGTAGGAAAGCAGGAACTCCCAAGACCAGATAGGAAGAAGCACCAGGTGAGTTCAGGCATTCATGCCTATTTGGCAGGCTGGCCCTCAAAAGATGTGGGTGGAAGGTAATCTGAGGGTAGCCAGGGTTTCCGGTTAGGTCCTCAGGCTACCCTGGAAGGCATTTGGTAGCTTCTGTATACAGCTGTGGTACAGTTGTTGAAGTGTGGCTCAAAGAAGTTTGGCCCAGCATCATGGGCAGACTGGGTGTGCACAGGCCTGTACATCTCTCCCTGACCAGGTGCCCCAGGGGAGGGGAGAAGACTCCTGAGATGCAGCATAAACAAGATTATGTGCAGATCTGCCTTGTGCCTGTGGAGAGAAGAGGAAGGCATCTGGCCAAAAGGGTGCAAAGGTCTGTGGCTTTGTCACAGCATTGCTATAGGCAGCTGACCTTGTAAAGAAGCCTCAAAAGAGGGCAGGCTTCCAGCATCGTGCTAGGGAGGCTGCTTTAGGGTCACGTGGAAATACATGCAAGGATATGAGGTTGTTCTTACAGTATAATCTCAGCAGCAAAGAACATGCATCAGAAAAGATTGGAAGGAAATACACAAGACATGACAGTGAATTTAAGGTAGAAGGGCCAGGGAGCGGAACTCGTTAATAAAATGATTACCTGCAGCCAGCCGAACCCCTCTGTGAGGGTGCTGCTCCTGTGTAAGCAACCAGTAAGGAGGGCAGGTAGGGATGGGTCTGTCAGCCAGGCCAGAGAGGGCAGTGTAGTGTCCTTTGGTACCTTTGGCAGGATCCCAAGTGGTGAGCTTTGTTCTCCTGCCCTGTCCAGTTGCTTGGCCTGAGGCTGGAGAGGGGGATGGGAATCTATGTAGGTCATTGCTCAGAGGAGGAGAGGCTTTTGTCTCCACAGAGGATGGAATAAAGAGATTCTCAATACTGAAGCCAGACTGAATGGTGCCTATTCAAAACACCAAATGTCCTGGTTGGGAGCAGGGCAGTCCCTCCCCCTCCTGCACCTTCCCCCCAACACATTTTAAAAGATAGGTTGAAGCCAATCTGGTTAAAGTTGGCCTGCAGGCTGACTGGCAAATAGCCTTTCAGCATATTCCCTTGGGTGAGTATGCCAGTTGGAGGGAGGTGGTGGTCTGAAACCTTACAGGACCAGATACTCAAGTTGGTTCCGGAGGTTGAGTTTCATTAACCAGATGGACACGAGATGGACAGGTAAGCCTGCTAGTTTGTTGATGAAAAGAACTGACAGGAGTCAACAGGAGAACATGACAGCTACTATAAGGCTATAACTAGATGATGACCGGATGAGTATGCGGACGTTAAAGGCACAGCCCCCTCTCTCCAGAGTAGGGAGAGACACACTGATGTTGACTGCCCCAATTCTAGGTAACTATGTTCTAAACCTTTGCCTGTCAGAATTCACTTACTCTTCACAGATTCAGGGTGCAGTGCCCATCCTAGTTCTACTTGGGGAAATGGAGGCTCAAATGTTAAGTAACTTGCCTAAGGTTACAGAGCTGTTACACTTCAGGGCTGGAATTGAATTGGGTCTGTCTACATTTGTGTTGTCCAGTGAGTAGTCACTAGCCACATGTGACTAATTAAATTCGAATTAACTCAAAACTCATCCAACTCATTGCGACCCCTCCTTAAGTTTCCGAGGTGGTATCTCTACGGAATAGATTGACCAATCTTCCGAGCAGTGGCTGGTGGGTTTGAACCACCAGCCTTCTGGTTAGCAGTCATATGCCTTAGGCACTATGCTACCAGCGCTCCCAAATTTGAATTAAGATTAAAAATTCAGGTCCTCAATTGTGCCAGCCACCTTTCAGGTACTTGATAGCTGTATGT